TAGACGCCTCAGAAATTTTGCAATCGAAGTATACAAAATTACAAACAAACAAACACCCACATACCTGCATGACCTCATCAGTACCACACAAAAGCCATACTCCTTTAGATACCACAACACAGCAGACATACCACAAGTAAGAACAACCAAATTTGGCAAACACTCTTTTCGATCTGAAGCACCAAAAATATGGAATTCTCTGCCAGACCACTTTCGAACAGCAACAACACTTTCGCAATTCAAAACACTTATAAACAGCTGGTACGGACCACAATGTAAATGTGTCACATGCAAACAACCTACATAATATACCACACAACAACATAGCATCACTTATTACTCTCATACAAGTACACAAGGTTTTTAAATATGCTTTTACACCCCATGTTTTTAGACTGATATCTGCTATTTTAAACAGCTACTTGTGTACATGTGCTTTTAACAAATGATAGTGCTAACCTAGCTGAAAATGAAATGTGATGTATGAGTAAAGTATTGACTTTGTAACTGTTTTATTATGCAATGTGTATGTCCTGTATGTTAGTCGGTTTTAATAGCTCCTTAGAGCTAATGTTGTATTGTTATACCATGTACCGACTCTAAATAAAACTTTTGACTTTGACTTGACTTTGTGAATAGAATGAACTTGAAATTAACGAAACGAAAGGCTAGCGCAACATATTTCCGTCAGTCTGAAATGAAGCTTTGAAAAAGTCGAGATTTCCAGAATATAAACATATATTTGTTTTAGTTGAAAATGTATAGGGTCAGCTGCCCGAACACGTGGGTTTTATCCGGGTTCTCCGGTTTCCTCCCTCATTAAGAACCCCACGTGCTGTCCTCTGGGCCAACAAGAGTGATTTATATAAGTTAAAATAACTTGTTTTATAATTCTAGTAAAATAGATGAAGTTTATATAACGGTTAACCATATATATATATATTGTACTAGACATCACTAGATAAGTATATCCATGCTACCAGAGTGACTTGGAAACGTTTGATATCCCTACGTTTCATTTTATTTCCGCTTATTTTATTCATTTTCTGCAGCTAATTAGCTGCTTGAATGGCAAGTAAACTTATGCCATGAGGCGGCCATTGTCGTTCGTCGTCAACTTTTGCTGTAAACCAACATGATTTTTACTAAATTTGTTCTTTAGCATTTGTAAGCCAAGATGACTCATGGTTGTCTTAATGGAAGGTATGCTCCTCGGAAAGCCCAGCTTCAACATTGAAAATAAAAGTAAATCTTCAATCGTTCATGTGGATCATAGGTCCTTTTGCCTATATACACTTCAATGGGAGAAAGTGTAAAGGGACACACTTAAAAATAACTAATACATATTTTAGTAATGAACTAGAAAATGTCTATAAGACATAAATGCCCCCGCTCATTGACGCGACGGGACGGGAACGGGCAACACTCTATGCCCCCCCC